GCTACAGTCTATAGTCGATACTATAGTACATTCTATATTCAATGCTGTAGTACATTCTTTAGTAGAAAATACAGTACAGTCTATAGTTTAGACTATAATACAGTCTATAGTCGAGACTATAATACAGTCTATAGTCGAGACTATAGTACAATCTATAGTCGAGACTATAGTACAGTCTATAGTCGAGACTATAGTACAGTCTATAGTCGAGACTATAGTACAATCTATAGTTGAGACTATAGTACAATCTATAGTTGAGACTATAGTACAATCTATAGTCGAGACTATAGTACAATCTATAGTCGAGACTATAGTACAATCTATAGTCGAGACTATTGTACAGTCTATAGTCGAGACTACAGTACAGTCTATACATAGTCGAGACTAAAGTACAGTCTATAGTCGATACTGAGCTATAGCCTATAGTCGAGTCTATAGTCGACACTATAGTCAAATTTTAAGCCAATCTGTATTCAAGACTGTAGTCCAGTCTCTTGTCGCTGTAGTCCAGCCTATAGACAAGACTACAGTCCATCTATAGTCGATATAATAATTTAGGGTGTAGTCGAAACAATAGTCCAGTCTGATTCTTCCGTATTATAGTTGAGACTATAGTCCAGTCTATACTCAAGCTTCAGTTCAGTCTCAATAATATAGTCCAGTCTATGGTCGAGACAATAGTTAAGTTTATAGCCGAGAGCTCAGTCTAATCTTTACTCAAGATTGTAGGCCAGTCTATTGTCGATACTAAAGACAAGTCTATGGTAGATACTATAATCTAGTCTGCTGTCAAGACAATAGTCCAGTCTATAGTCTATACTATAGTCCACTCTATTGTCGATTGTTTAAACTTTCAAGTCTATACTTAGATTAAAAAAATGTGGTATATGCGAGACCAGGATGCCTTAATTACATCATGGGCGAGACTATTGGTAGGTAATAATAAATCGTATATTAACAGGATGTATAAGTTGTATTTCAAGAGCCAGAAAGTGTTCTTAGATTTTTACATTCCCAGAAATAAAACTGTTTTGTGAACATTTGAACATTTGACCATATTTTCCTTGCTGCTGAACATTAAATCTCTCAATCAATTGTCTCCTAAAATCTATAAATTCAAATGTATACTTTGTCGGTAATATAATAGATTTTTAGCTGTGTGCTGCATATTAAATGTAAAACGTTTAAATTTCAAAAAAAAAAAAAAAAAAACATACAAACCTTAACTGTTACATTTAACGTATTTATTCAAATTTAAATGTGTCCAAATTGCAAAAACAAAAAACCTAAATAAATATTTCCATGATTACACACCCCTAAAGTTGATTGGCACTAGCCAATAAAACAAAACTATATAAAATCGTATATCACGTGATATATTTATATATGTAAGTACTCGTAAGTTTATGGCATTTGGTGTAGTTTTTTATTACAAACGTTAACAAATTAACGTGTGTCAAAATTATCGTGTAAGGTTTCTGATCCATTTTGCTGCTTAAACATTATACGTATGTCATGAAGTATGAGTACTATAAGCATGTAACCTGATCAGGCAATAAATATATCACTAGCGTAAATGAAAATTTTTAAATTATTTAAATACTTGTCTCTGTTTGTTGAAGGTAGGTGCTCTCTCAACAATTAATATTGAAAATATTATAAAAACAATGTTGTCAATTATATTTTTTCGAAAAAAGTTTAATTGATTTGAACTTGCTGCTTGAGAGGGATTTATAGTCGAGTTAGACCTGTTGATTAGACTATTATTTATAATGAAGACTATCGAGATTAAAGTCCAATTTATAGTCTGGTCGATGATCGATAATATAGTTTGCTGTATACTCGAGACTATAGTCTGGTCTATAGTCGAGAGTATAATCTGGCCTATGGTCTGATTTATAGTTGAGACTATAGTCTGGTCTATAGTCGAGACTATAGTCTGGTCATAATCGTCGAGACTAAGTTAGTTAGTTAGGTAGTTAGTTAGTTAGTTAGTTAGTTAGTTAGTTAGTTAGTTAGTTAGTTAGTTAGTTAGTTAGTTAGTTAGTTAGTTAGTTAGTTAGTTAGTTAGTTAGTTAGTTAGTTAGTTAGTTAGTTAGTAGTTAGTTAGTTAGTTAGTTAGTTAGTTAGTTAGTTAGTTAGTTAGTTAGTTAGTTAGTTAGTTAGTTAGTTAGTTAGTTAGTTAGTTAGTTAGTTAGTTAGTTAGTTAGTTAGTTAGTTAGTTAGTTAGGTTAGTTAGTTAGTTAGTTAGTTAGTTAGTTAGTTAGTTAGTTAGTTAGTTAGTTAGTTAGTTAGTTAGTTAGTTAGTTAGTTAGTTAGTTAGTTAGTTTGTTTGTTTGTTTGTTTGTTTGAAAGGAGGTGGTATACACATCAAATCCGAAGAAATACACCTAGGCCTCTATCGGGCCTGTTGTGCGCTCCTTAACCAGTGCCTCAGGTGGGAATCGAACCCAACACCTCCTGTCTACCAGACTAGAACACTAACCAATAACCTACCGGAGGCCAGGTATAGTCTATTCTATAGTCGAGACTATAGCCTGGTCTATAGTCGAGACTTTAGTCTGGTCTATAGTCGAGACTATAGTCTGGTCTATAGTGGAGACTATTGTCTGGTCTATAGTCGAGACTATAGTCTGGTCTATAGTCGAGACTATAGTCTGGTCTATAGTCGAGACTATAGTCTGGTCTATACTCGAGACTATAGTCTGGTCTATACTCGAGATTATAGTCCGGTCTATAGTAGAGACTATAGTCTGGTCTATAGTCGAGACTATAGTCTGGTCTATCGTCGAGACTATAGTCTGGTCTATAGTCGAGACTATAGTCTGGTCTATAGTCGAGACTATAGTCTGGTCTATAGTCGAGACTATAGTCTGGTCTATAGTCGAGACTATAATCTGGACTATAGTCGAGACTACAGTCTGGTCTATAGTCGAGACTATAGTCTGGTCTATAGTCGAGACTATAGTCTGGTTTATAGTCGAGATTATAGTCTGGTCTATAGTCGAGATTATAGTCCGGTCTATAGTCGAGACTATAGTCTGGTCTATAGTCGAGACTATAGTATGGTCTATAGTCAAGACTATAGTCTGGTCTATTGTCGAGACTATAGTCTGGTTTATAGTCGAGATTATAGTCTGGTCTATAGTCGAAATTATAGTCTGGTTTATAGTCGAGACTATAGTCTGGTCTATAGTCGAGACTATAGTCGGGTCTATAGTCGAGACTATAGTCGGGTCTATAGCAGACCTGGGATAAATGCATTAAATGTGTTAATGCATTAACAATTTTTTCTACATTAAAAAAAATTAATGTTAATGCAAGTTTATTGCATTAACATTAACATGGGTACATTTAATGCATTAAATTTGCATTAACATTAAATATTTTTAAATTTAATGCATTAATTTTACATTAACATTAAATATTTGTGAAATTAATGCATTAATTTTGCATTAACATTAAATATTTTTGAATTTAATGCATTAATTTTCCATTAACATTAAATAATAAATAATAAAATTAATGCATTAATTTTCCATTAACATTAATGTATAAAATAATTTATAAAAATAAGAATACAGCGCTAAAGACCTCGGTCTAACAAAATTCAAGTAAAATTGAATGTGTTAAAGTCCTTTCTAATAAGTCCTATACTCGATAATACATATTAGAAGAATAGTATCACTTCCCAGATATTCCATTTTTAGTTTATTTTGTTAAAGTTCTTTCTAATAAGTCCTATACTCGATAATACATATTAGAAGAATAATATCACTTCCCAGATATTCCTTTTTTAGTTTATTTTGTCTGTGGAATCTTATATAAATATCATATTTAAAACACACAAGTTTGAATGGAATATAGGAGTTATTAGAAAGGACTTTAACCTATTTAATTTTAGTTGTTTAGTTAGATCGAGGTCTTTTGAGCTGTATTTTTATTTATGTTTATCAATTTTTATATATATTAATGTTAATGGAATATTAATGCATTAATTTTATTGCTTATTTAATGTTAATGTAAAATTAATGCACTAAATTCAGATATATTTAATGTTAATGCAAAATTAATGCATTAATTTGAAAAATATTTAATGTTAATGTAAAATTAATGCATTAAATTCAAAAATATTTAATGTTAATGGAAATTTAATGCATTAAATTTTAAAAATTTAATGTTAATGCAATATTTTTTACATTAAATTAACTTTTTTTTAATTTAATGTTAATGCAAAATTAATGGAAATCGCCCAGGTCTGGTCTATAGTCGAGACTATAGTCTGGTCTATAGTCGAGACTATAGTCTGGTCTATAGTCGAGACTATAATCTGGTCTATAATCGAGACCATAGTTTATAGTCGAGATTATAGTCTGGTCTATAGTCGAGACTATAATCTGGTCTATAATCGAGACCATAGTTTATAGTCGAGATTATAGTCTGGTCTATAGTCGAGACTATAGTCTGGTCTATAGTCGAGACTATAGTCTGGTCTATAGTTGAGACTATAGTCTGGTCTATAGCCGAGATTATAGTCTGGTCTATAGCCCACACTACAGTCTGGCCTTTAATCCAAACTATTAATTGAACTATAGCCTGTATTACAATATAAACCATTAACTATAGCCAATTCAGTCTGTTCTATAGTAAAGGCTATAGGCTATAGTCTTGTCTATAGACGATATTTCAACTGACACTACAAAATCGCCACAATTGGCAACATTCTTTACAAGAACCTTTTGTTTGTTTGTGTTGTTGGGGTTCCAATTTAAATGAAGTTTTCATCAAACGAAAGTTAACGATCTCTTAAAAAAAATAAACTAAAAAACAAACAAACAACGATGAAAAACGTTACAATTGACGATCGTACTACACTCGTTTTGATTGTAAAAAAATATAAATAAAAAAATTCAAAAAAAGCACAACGTTTGCAAACAATTTACTTTACACAAGAATAATTTTCATGCAGAGTTTTCATTTATTTGATCATTCGCGTTTAAACCAGCGCAGTGTTCAACAGCTAAACGCGGGAAACTTAAATTCAACTCGTTTAGAAAAAGACAAATTTAAAAGTAATTAAATAGTGATTTAAACAAATTAAAAAAAATATATATGAATTATAAATTATTAAATACAAGAAATTCTAACACACTAATGAATACAACAAATTCTTAAAGTTGAAAAAATTGCAGTAATTTGTAAAGAATAAAAATTATATTAAATTAGAAAAATAAATTAAAACAAAAGTGACCTTACAAAATACGTTTTTAATGTATCACAATAAAATAATTTGTATAATTGATTTTTTTTTATAATTTTAATTAAAAATACCACGCAATATTATTAAATTTGAAACAAAATTATGTTTTTAGTTTAAATTATTATAATATACATAAATATTTAATAGTAATAGTGTTGGCAAGTAGTCGATTTGGGATTTATTAAAAATAATAAAAATTCGTTATATTTAAAATTTTTTAATTAAATGAGTAAGTAACAAAATGACCATTGTTTTATCAATTTAAAAGAAAAGAAAAATATATAAATTTTGAAAATAATTTGGAATATATTTTAGACTAACGTCAAAATTCTAGTCTTAACTAGAACTGAACTAGAACTAACTAGAACTGAACTAGAACTGAACTAGAACTGAACTAGAACTGAACTAGAACTGAACTAGAACTGAACTAGAACTGAACTAGAACTGAACTAGAACTGAACTAGAACTGAACTAGAACTGAACTAGAACTGAACTAGAACTGAACTAGAACTGAACTAGAACTGAACTAGAACTGAACTAGAACTGAACTAGAACTGAACTAGAACTGAACTAGAACTGAACTAGAACTGAACTAGAACTGAACTAGAACTGAACTAGAACTGAACTAGAACTGAACTAGAACTGAACTAGAACTGAACTAGAACTGAACTAGAACTGAACTAGAACTGAACTAGAACTGAACTAGAACTAGAACTGAACTAGAACTGAACTAGAACTGAACTAGAACTGAACTAGAACTGAACTAGAACTGAACTAGAACTGAACTAGAACTGAACTAGAACTGAACTAGAACTGAACTAGAACTGAACTAGAACTGAACTAGAACTGAACTAGAACTGAACTAGAACTGAACTAGAACTGAACTAGAACTGAACTAGAACTGAACTAGAACTGAACTAGAACTGAACTAGAACTGAACTAGATGAACTAGAACTGAACTAGAACTGAACTAGAACTGAACTAGAACTGAACTAGAACTGAACTAGAACTGAACTAGAACTGAACTAGAAACTGAACTAGAACTGAACTAGAACTGAACTAGAACTGAACTAGAACTGAACTACAACTAAACCACAACTGAAGTGGAACTAGAATTGAACTATAGACAGTATTTTATAGTATAAAATATAATGTAAATTCCAAGTGCTTTATTCAGGTTTAAACTCAGTTTAGTCGAGTTCACCATTAACCGATTACTTTCCATAACAAACAGTCTATTACTAACCATTCTTGTTTAGTCTTCTAATGTTTATTTTCTAAACAAATATGTTTTTCAAACTTTTCCAAACGTTACGGTTGAAATAAAACATTATTTAATTTTTGTTTTTGGTACAAAATAAAAGCCAAATTATTTACTTTAGTTTTCTAAATTTAAATATTTTTTAAGGTTTAAAAAAATAACTCAACAAGTAAAGAATTATAGTTGACCATGTTCGACCATATGATACCTACCACGATAATACTTCCAGATTTTACAGAATTCGTTAGAAAACGTTGATTATTGGTTCGACTTTTTCATAAAGTGTTAGGGTCATTTTTGGAACTCATTCCCATTAATTTTGATCATAATTTTTGTCATGTAGTTAAGTTGTATGGGGGCATAGTTAGATTATAAGTTCTAGATGGGTGGACATACTACATATGGGTATGGTTTACTCTACAAATTTTGAAGCGATTGTTATATTTTAAAGTGTTTATACGACTGTTACTTTTGTCTTTTACAAACATAGGCACAAAACCATAATACGTTAGTTTTAAAGTAGGGTACAATAATAACAAATTGTTAATCACAACAAAAATAAATGTTTGTATATCTAGTACTCTAGATCATATGTATCTCTGTTTTTTCACCATTTACTATGACTATCCACCACATTTTTGTTAAAGTTCATGTAAAATTGTTCATAATCATTGAGTTTTCAAACATAATTGCACGACTTTGTAATTTGGCTAAAAAAAAACACCAACTAGTGTGATTTTATAAAAAAAAATGTAACTAAATTGTTGTATGGAAAATTAACAGGCCAAAAAAAAAAGTACTTTTTTATTACAAACTAAAAAAACAACTATTTAAATGTTAACAATTGAACAAGAGATACAAAATTAAAACAAATTTAATCATTAAGACATAATTATTTACGACAGTGCGTATGATTAATTTGTATAATGATTTAATATTAACATGGAGGACTTTTCCAATGATTTGATTTGATTTTTTCATAAAAATCAATGTTTTTTTTTTTTTTATTTAAATCAGATTATTAAAAATTCATCATTTTTTTTAAAATACAAAATTTTTCCTATTAAATCCCCTTTAATGCTTATGTTTTTCGAAATAATGCTTAACCACTAAATGACAAGTTTGACATATTGGTTTTATTAACACTGTCACCACCACCAAACAATTCGGAATTACATATCTAGATTGTGTCCCCATCTTGAGTAGAAAGTCAAAACAGTTATAAAACGAAAACTTTGTTTTTACTTATTTACGCTTAATAGTTAGTGTGTTAAACAAAGAAAATATAATTTTCTTTTTATACCCTACACCACTTTAGTGGGGAGGGTATATTGGATTTGTGCTGATGTTTGTAACATACAAAAATATTCGTCCTAGACCCACCTTAAAGTATACCAATCGGCTTAGAATCGTTTTCTGAGTCGATTAAGCTATGTCCGTCCGTCTGGCTGGCTGGCTGGCTGTCCATGTAAACCTTGTGCGCAAGGTACAGGTCGCAATTTTCAAGATAATTGGATGAAATTTGGCACGCACGTTTGATTTGGCCCAAGGACGAAGCCTATTGAAAATGGTTAAAATCGGTCCATTATTTCACCTAGCCCCCATAGAACAGAACCCCCGAAAAGGGCTTCTGAGCTCATAATTATGCTAAATATACAGATATATCGATAAAATACGGCACAACTAATTTTTATTGATGTCTTGATGACCCTGCCAAATTTCATAACGATCGGGCCCCATTTGACCCTAGCTCCCATACAAAGTCCCCTTCAGAAAATTACTTGAATGTCCCAAATTAACTTATAAACACAAATATTGCGATGAAATTCAGCACAATAAAATATTATGTAAATATAAATATATTGAAAAAATTTTACCGGGCTTGGTCCATATTTGCCCCTAGCCCCCATATAAAGCCTCTTTCAGAAAATTAGTTTTTCATCCATAAATTGCTTAAATGTATCGGAACAAGGGAATATTGAAGATAAATGCTTTATTATGAAAAATAAATCACATTTAATATTCATAACTGGTGTAGGGTATCATATGGTCGGCCACGCCCGACTATACTTTCTTACTTGCTTTTTATAAGTTTTATTTCTTCTATTGCTTGGAAAAATGATTAAAATGATGGTGTTGTATTTAAAACCTTTAAATTGTAACATAAATATGAAACAATGTTAGTTAACCGCATATTATTACTATTACTAGATACAATATGCTCATAAAGGGTGTTGCAAAATTAAGAATGCTAAATTTTTCTAAATTTTTTTTTTTATATCCTTCACTTTCTTATTCTTTAATATCATTTTCCGACCCTGTAAATTACATATATTCCAAATCTTTGTAGACAGCGAAGTCGATTAAGCTATGTCTGTCTGTCCGTTTGTAAATCAATTTTCTGAAGACCCCAGATATCTTCGGGACACACATTTTCAACAATTCAATCAGAGTTGAGCCCAGAGTAAATGAGAACCTATAAAAGGGAACTTTTTTGTACTTTTTCGTTCTTGAGTTTTCTATAACATTGAACTTAGAAACATTAAATTAAGCATGTAGGGCCGGAGTATGTGAGAACCTATAAAAGGGGACATTTTTGGTACTTTTTCGTTCTTCAAAAGGTACTATTCGAATTTTCTATAATATTGAACATATAAACATGAAATTAAGCATGTAGATTCAGGAGTAAATAAGAATCTATAAAAGGGTACCTTTTGATACTTCTTCGTTCTTCAAAAGGTACTTTTTGCGTTTCCTATAATATTGAAGCTAGAAACATAAAATTAAGCATGTAGAGCCCGGAGTAAATGAGAACATATAAATGGGGACTTTTTGGTACTTTTTTGTTCTTCTATAACATTAAACCAGAAACAAAAAAGTAAGCCTGGAGTAAGTGATAACCTATAAAAGGGCACATTTTGGTACTTTTTCGTTCATTAACTGGCACTCTTAGAGTTTTCTATGATAGAGAACCAAGGAACATAAAATTAAGCGTATAGATCCAGGACTAACTGAAAATCTATAAAATGGGAATTTTTGATACTATTATGTTCTTTAAAAGGTACTTAATTTTCTGTAACATTTAATTTAGAAACATAAAATTAAACATAGAAACATATAATAAGACATATATCCTAATGGAATGAAAAACTCTAAAGAGTAAATTTTTTAGTACTTTTTGTTCTTCAACTGGAACTTTTTGAATCTTAATCTTAAAGATCCTAAAAGACGTAAAATTGAACAGGAAGCTTACTGATTGAATTAACATTATAAAATGGGAATTTGTCGTACTTTTCGTCATACAAATGGTACTTTTTAGATTTTCTGAATTATTGAATTATTATGGGTCATTAGTTTAGTCCATAATAAAGTAATAAACTACACTATAGACTAGTTAATACATTGACACATAAACCATTCTATATACTAGTCCATAGACTACTCAAAAGTATAGTCAGTAAACAATTCTATATATTAGTCCACAGACAGAGTCTTTAGAATAGTCTAAAGAATATTTTATAGACTAGTCTATAAACTATTCATTAGTCAATAGATTAGTAAATAGAGTAGATAATATGGGACCAGATAATAGATAACTTAAGGAACAATTCAATAGATTACTGAAGGGACTAGATTAGACCTTAGAATAGTTCATACACTAGCTTATTGACTAGTGTATATAGTACTAAATAGAGTATACTCTATATATTTAATGGATTTGTCAATAGACTAGTCTGCAGAATAGGAGACCAGTGCATAGACTAGTCTGAAGACTAGTACATAGATTAGTCCATAGACTATTTTATTGACAAGTTAATAAACATTTCAATATACTATTCTATAGTGTAGAAAGACTAGTCCATAGACTAGTCAACAGACTAGACCATAGATTAGAGTCGTTGATAGACTAGTCCAAAGACTAGTCCATAGATTATTCTATAGAAAAGTTCATAGACTGGGTAAATAGAAAGTAGACTAGTCAATGGACGAGTCAATAGTCTAGTAAGTAGACTAGTCAATAAACAATTCAATAGACTAGCACTTATCTACAAGTCAATAGATAACTCAATAGACTAGTTTATAGATTCGTTAATAGACTGATCAATAGATTCAATAATAGACTGGTCAGTAGACTAGTCGATAGACTTGTTTGAGCATTAGTCAATAGACTAATCAATAGTCAATAGACTAATCAATAGTCGGTAGGCTAGTTCTTAGAATATCATATATGCTAGTCTATATACTAGCCAATAGATTATTCTATATACAAGTACATCGACTATTTTATATACTAGTCAATAGACTAGTCTATCCACTATTCTATATGTCTAATAAGTAGTCCACAAACTAGGTACTAATCCATAGACTATTATAAAGACAAGAATAGTGAATAGACAACTCAGAGGACTACACAATAAACTACCCAGAGCACTAGTCCACAAAATACTCAACCGATTAGCCCATTTACTAGTCAATAAACTAGTTAATAGAGTCATCAATAAGGTATCCATTATACTATTTAATTGAGTAATCAATGGAGTAGTCTTTGTACTAGTCAATAGACTAGTCCATAGATTATGCTATTGAGTTGTCAACAGATTATTCTCTTGAGTAATCAATAGTCTGTGGACTAGAAAATTTTGTTACACCCTTTATGGTAATAATCTATATGTTGAACATGCAATATACATGTTCATGTTAATTGTGGATAAAATGTAATAAGAAACTTTTTTTAATCGGCAATTTTTTCGTTTGCAATTGCAGAATTGTCAACTGTAAAGAAATATTAAAAGTTGTTATATATAGTTAAAATATTACATTTTACTAATAATTTCTCATTAGAAAAATGTGAATAGAATGTTAGCTCTCTATACTATACACTACTTAGTAATTTGCCCTAATTAATAAACATTCGTATTTGTTAATTATCTTTTGTAATACCAAAAACATTTTTTAGATATAACTCCAAAAAGTAAAAAGTAATAGTATTACAGTGTTAAAGACTTTATTATATTACTACACTGTGGTTTAGAAACTGTGTATTTCGACAATAATGGTTCAAACTATAGGAGTTATAGTAAAGAAACTGTCTGATATTGCTTATATTCAAAATCATATAAACCTTGACAAATTTGGTTTTTAACAGAAAGACGGACTTGAGTATGTAACTGGTTAGCTCGGGCAAACTATTGCAGTTATAGTAAAGAAACTGTATTCTGGGAGTTTGAAAGAAAGCAAACTTTGACAAAATTCGTTTTTAGCAGAAAGACGGACTTAAGTATGGACTTGGCAGGATCGTCTTGGAATCTATTTTGACAAACTAGTCACTTAATTGAATTGCCCATTTAATCATATAATCATATAGTATGTTTATACACTAAATAGTCTGTAGGGTAACAAAAACTAAACATGGTATTTGTAGTGAAACAAAACAAAAGATTTAAGCAACAAGCGTGATTCTTGCAAAGTAAACAAAACAACTGTAATACAAACATTAACAATTTAATCAAATAATATTATAATACAAAATACAATTACAACTAAAACAACAATATAAATAAATAACTAAAAGTAAAAGAGAGCGAAAAAAAAACAAGAAAATTTAAAGAAACCTCAACTTAAACTAAAATAAAAGCTTAACTATAAAACTAAACTAAATATAACAATTAATTAGTGCATAAACTTACAAATAAAAAATAAAATAATTAACTGCCGTTAAATTTAGCTACAACATGCAAGCGTGTGCTTATTTTGAAAATAAAACTTTGAAATAGAAACAAATTGATTAGAGAAAAAATAGAAAAAAAACAACAAATTAAAATAAATTTTCTTCACAGTACATTCACTTTTTAAAATTACCCAGAAAAAAAAATGTAAAACAATTTTTGCAAAAAAAAGTAAATTTTATTATCAAAACGAATTGGCTAAATATTTTGAAAAAAAAAAAAAAAAATGTTTAAAATGTTAACAAATAAATTTACCACCTACAAAGCAATCTAGATTATGGCCCAATAAATGGCCTAAATTTTTCATACAAAAATGCAGTAAAAAAATACAAAAAATACTTAAAAACTATTAATAGTTTTTTCTTCTTTTATTTATTATTGCTGACGTTTTAACAAAAAGAACCAAGTGTATATATAAATAATAATGTGTTCACCTAGTGGCTTAATTTGTATTTTAATAACAAGTTTATTTACAAATTGTGTTTATTTCTCTGTGGCAGTCAAAGCTGTTAACAACACTGTTGCCACAAAAACCAATACTAACAACAACACCGCCACTTATTATCATCTTCCAGCAGCAGCTAACATTAGTTGGCCACCTAATACACCTGATTTTTTCAATAATTTTACACCAAATGACCATCATCTTCACAGCTCTACAAGCCATAGTGCGTTTGAGAGTAAAAGCAGCAGCCTCGAAACTAATGGTCAGTTTATTGATATAACACGGAAGCATAAAATCCATTACAATGGTTTTGTGGTAAGTATTAAATGTTTTTCTACTTTACTTAAGACCACCCCCCCCTTTTATATAAATATTTATAATAATATTTTCTTTACTGTTTGGTTTCACTTGTCTGCATTTGTGATATTTTTAAGAAATCATTTCATTTCATTTTTTTTTGTAATTAATATGCATTTAGTTTTGTATGCGTTTTGCTGTTGTGGGTGGGTGGTGGTTTTTTGGATTTCAGTTTTAATAGTTTTGTTTTATTGTTTTGTGTGCTAATTAAAAGAATAAATTAAATAAAACTGAAATTTTAATTAGCTGCTCATATTTCCACCAGTTTTTGTGGCATAAATTAAATCTGTAAAAAGATCTTGCTTAACGGTGTGTTAATTGTTTGTTACTAATTAGGCCGTTAGATTTTTTGGAAATTTCAAAAAATTTCATATTTTAATTTTGTAACAAACTATAAAATTGTGTAAAATTAAAAATTTCATTAGAGTTTTTAATTTCCTATAGCGGCATACTTTTTTAAGGCTAATACTTACTATCAGCTTTAAATAGTATTAATTAAGTAATGTCTGGATGCTGTAGGTCTTCCGCTGTAAAACTATACTTCATTTTGTCCAGAATTTGTCTAGGCAATACTAAGTACATACATAATTTCCAAAATCGTTGCTTTGTGAAATGTAAGGAGAGGTAATCGGAACATCTTTCATGTACCCATGAAAGTTTAGTTAGTTAGTTAGTTAGTTAGGTAGTTAGTTAGTTAGTTAGTTAGTTAGTTAGTTAGTTAGTTAGTTAGTTAGTTAGTTAGTTAGTTAGTTAGTTAGTTAGTTAGTTAGTTAGTTAGTTAGTTAGTTAGTTAGTTAGTTAGTTAGTTAGTTAGTTAGTTAGTTAGTTAGTTAGTTAGTTAGTTAGTTAGTTAGTTAGTTAGTTAGTTAGTTAGTTAGGTAGTTAATTAGTTAGGTAGTTAGTTAGTTAGTTAGTTAGGTAGTTAGTTAGTTAGTTAGTTAGTTAGTTAGTTAGTTAGTTAGTTAGTTAGTTAGTTAGTTAGTTAGTTAGTTAGTTAGTTAGTTAGTTAGTTAGTTAGTTAGTTAGTTAGTTAGTTAGGTGTAGTTAGGTAGTTAGTTAGGTAGTTAGTTAGTTAGTTAGTTAGTTAGGTAGTTAGTTAGTTAGTTAGTTAGTTAGTTAGTTAGTTAGTTAGTTAGTTTAGGTAGTTAGTTAGTTAGTTAGTTAGTTAGTTAGTTAGTTAGTTAGGTAGTTAGTTAGTTAGTTAGTTAGTTAGTTAGTAGTTAGGTAGTTAGTTAGTTCGGTAGTAGTTAGTTAGTTAGTTAGGTAGTTAGTTAGTTAGTTAGTTAGTTAGTTAGTTAGTTAGTTAGTTAGTTAGTTAGTAGTAGTTAGTTAGTTAGTTAGTTAGTTAGTTAGTTAGTTAGTTAGTTAGTTAGTTAGTTAGGTAGTTAGTTAGGTTAGGGTTAGTTAGTTAGTTAGTTAGTTAGTTAGTTAGTTAGTTAGTTAGGTTAGTAGTAGTTCGTTAGTTAGTTAGTTAGTTAGTAGTTAGTAGTTATTAGTTAGTTAGTTAGTAGTTAGTTAGTTAGTTAGTTAGGTAGTTAGTTAGGTAGTTAGTTAGTTAGTTAGTTAGTTAGTTCGTTAGTTAGTTAGTTAGGTAGTTAGTTAGTAGGTAGTTAGTTAGTTAGTTAGTTAGTAGTTAGTAGTTAGTTAGTTAGTTAGTTAGTTAGTTAGTTAGTTAGTTAGTTAGTTAGTTAGTTAGTTAGTTAGTTAGTAGTTAGTTAGTTAGTTAGTTAGTTAGTTAGTTAGTTAGTTAGTTAGTTAGTTAGTAGTTAGTTAGTTAGTTAGTTAGTTAGTTAGTTAGTTAGTTAGTTAGTTAGTTAGTTAGTTAGTTAGTTAGTAGTTAGTTAGTTAGTTAGTTAGTTAGTTAGTTAGTTAGTTAGTTAGTTTGCCGGGTGTACATAACTCTACACTAGATAAAAAAGAGTTTTAACTACTAAATCCCAATGATGGGGCTACTTCAGTGATCTTTGTACTTTGTACTAAGTAGTGTATTGCCTTAAAATAGTAGCAAACATATATTTGCATGATTTCCAGTGTGGGAGTAGAGCAACCTGATTAACAAACAATTAGGTACTTTTTTATGGCATATTTTATGATTGACTTTAACGATATTATTGGTATAAATATATACAAACCTAAACATAAACCATGAATGCCGTACAATATTCAACAACCATTTATTTTTGGCTAAATTTCATTACAGGTAAATTCAGATACATTTTCAGCCAAATTACAGATTTTAAATAATTGTCATCTAAAATTGCATAATTTTACAAGTTTAAGTATAAATTATTTTTTGCAAAAAATATATATGATAATTTGAAATTGTAATAAAAAATATTTTTATTCTAAATTTAATATCGTGACCATTATAAGGTGTGTTTTGTTTGCTTTATATTTTTCTACAAAACATATTTTACTTAAATGTTTAAATTAAGCATGTAAATACATACATATATTGCATTAAATATGCACTTTGCTGCAATGTATTTATTTAAATCTCTTAAAATCTACTTCATTATCTGGTGGAGCCAATGAGATTTTTCTATCTTTGTGGCACCAGCATCTGTTGTTGCAATTTTGGCACGTGAGTCAAAGCAACATGTATTGCATTTGATTTGCTTGATTAATACAAAGCACAGACAGATGAACAGACATGATTACAGTGTGTTAAAGGTGTTAGAAATTACAATAGATATGTATGAATGTGCATTCTTGTACACTCATTTATATGAACCCCTATAATGCCGCAGCTATTAAAAATTCTCATGGCATTTAATGTCATGACATAAATTATATGCTTTTCTTATGATTGATTTGTTTGAATTTCATTCACGTTACTCAGCCATAAATGGCTAACTATTTAAGTGATTTATTTACTGGATTTTTTTTTATATTTTTAATCTTGCCTGTAAGAATAGTTAATATTCTAGAGTTGGTTAAGTAATTGTTTATGGCATTAATGTGCACAATTAAATGTTTTGAATGATGTGATGTACAAGCTATTTATGTTTTGTAAATATATACGCGTTTTAGTATAAAAATAATCTTTAGACATTTTAATATTGTAGTTAGAAGGAGATGTTATACGACAATAAAATCAAGCGCCAGTTGGTTTATTTTATAGACTGACAACTGACAAGCAGTAGTTGACATTTCAGTAGTCTTAACATGCGCCAATTAAGATTTTTTATTAGAAATAGCTTTTTATATAATTAGAAAAAAATATTGAAAATTTCTTGCAAATAAAAATTTTTATCTAAATAACTAACTAACTAACTAACTAACTAACTAACTAACTAACTAACTAACTAACTAACTAACTAACTAACTAACTAACTAACTAACTAACTAACTAACTAACTAACTAACTAACTAACTAACTAACTAACTACTAACTAACTAACTAACTAACTAACTAACTAACTAACTAACTAACTAACTAACTAACTACTAACTAACTAACTAACTAACTAACTAACTAACTAACTACTAACTAACTAACTAACTAACTAACTAACTAACTAACTAACTAACTAACTACTAACTAACTAACTAACTAACTAACTAACTAACTAACTAACTAACTAACTAACTAACTAACTAACTAACTAACTAACTAACTAACTAACTAACTAACTAACTACTAACTAACTAACTAACTAACTAACTAACTAACTAACTAACTAACTAACTAACTAACTAAACTAACTAACTAACTAACTAACTAACTAACTAACTAACTAACTAACTAACTAACTAACTAACTAACTAACTAACTACTAACTAACTAACTACTAACTAACTAACTAACTAACTACTAACTAACTAACTAACTAACTAACTAACTAACTACTAACTAACGAACTAACTAACTAACTACTACGAACTAACTAACTAACTAACTAACTAACTAACTAACTAACTAACTAACTAACTACTAACTAACTAACTAACTAACTACTAACGTACTAACTAACTAACTAACTAACTACAACTAACTAACTAACTAACTAACTAACTAACTAACTAACTAACTACTAACTAACTAACTAACTAACTAACTAACTAACTAACTACTAACTAACTAACTAACTAACTAACTAACTAAACTAACTAACTACTAACTAACTAACTAACTAACTAACTAACTAACTAACTAACTAACTAACTAACTAACTAACTAACTCTAACTAACTAACTAACTACTAACTAACTAACTAACTAACTAACTAACTAACTAACTAACTACTAACTAACTAACTACTAACTAACTAACTAACTAACTAACTAACTAACTAACTAACAAACTAACTAACAAACTAACTAACTAACTAACTAACTAACTAACTAACTAACTAACTAACTACTAACTAACTAACTAACTAACTAACTAACTAACTAACTAACTAACTAACTAGCTAACTAACTAACTAAAAATATAATCTGTAATCACATACATACATATGTATTTCTTTCCCCAAAAATCTGTTCGTTTCTTTGAGAAATTCCGCTATTTGCTACGTTTTTAAAAATAACAAAATGCAATATCCCTATATGACCTTATTTTCTAGACAGTAAATATGAAAGTAAACACGTAAGGTAGACAGTAAGCGGTTAAGCAATTTGAACAACTAGGTATTGCTTTTACTCTCACTCTATAATAAACGATCTAAATTTCGTTTGTTGTACTTAGTGTGCCTTTGTTTGTACTGCTCTTAAGGAATACAATTCCTTAATTAATTCAATTGACCATTGAATTTAAAATTGTATTAATTAAAATTAAAGTGAAGAAAAAAGAAACACGTTCAAGAACTTTGTACTCTAGCTATTAACCAAACAGATTACAAATAAGTATAAAAACTAAATATAGAAATATTAAATTTATTCAGATTTATTTTTTTTATTAATATAAATTTTACAACAAATAAATACAATCTGTGTTGGTTGATTGGATGGTA